CCCAAGTCATGCATTCAGATTTGAATTTTAACTTGCTATTAAGTTTATGACTCTTGTCTACCACAGAAGTTTTATACATTTCTTTTTTTTTTCTTGCATGGATTAAATTTTATTATTATATTGATATTAATTATAATATTGATTAAAAATGTACCATTTAAATGTTAGGTTGTGCGTTTTAGGATTATTTAAAATTTAAAATTACATAGGATGGAAATTATTAAATTGTAGACTCCATTCTTCAGAATTTAAGGGGAGTCAACAGCTGATAGTACTTTTTTTTATTATTATTATCGATTTCATATAGCTGATATTTAAAGAAAATGAGATATATACAAGTACAAGCATGAAAATTTGTTTATTTCGAAATGTAATTGTTTTATATCGTGATTCAACAATCTGATTAGTAATCCTTTTTGGAAATTTACGCAGGTAAAGAGATGCCAGTACACGAACAGTGTTGCCAAAATTGATTACGCTTTATACGAAAGATGATAATGAAATTTACGGGCTTTTATTTGATTAGCCGACACATTGACTTGGGCCGATATTTTCGAAGAGACCAAATGGCAAAGTGATCTGCAGAGGAAAGTAAAAAAAATAACTTTGTATTCACTAATGAGAGTTGGGCCTAGCGATATGAGTTAGTTCATCATAAAGTGATAAATCAAGTGTTGAATTCTTATTATGAGAGATACTTATATTTAATATTTGTTACTGTCTCAAACATAATTGCATCCGAAAAAACAGCAACTATGATGAGGCGCATGGAATGTATTATTAAAAAAATAGTTATTGATTTTTAGATAATTTTTTTATATCACTGTATTTAGTGTATCAAATGGATTGTAATAATAGAAGCAATCACAAGGAATCGTGAGAAACTAAATAAAAATATGTTGAGCATCAACTTGAAATTTAATACGTATCCAAGAGAATAAAATAGGAATATATCAAAACACCAGCTTCGCTTGCAGGATTTTATAACAACACACAAAATTAGACAGGGCAAATCAGTCAGTACTTACAATCTTCTCATTTTTCTGGTATTAAAAACAAGTTGAAATCACCTTAAAAATTAGCAGGTTGAACCTGCAACCTCTCACAGATACGAATCAATCTATCAATCTAATGTCACTAAGTCATAGGGCATAGGCAATCTTTTTGCTTTCTAGTTTTCTTCTTCCTGCTATTTTAATTTTGACATCTTGATTTAAGCATGTTTCTTTTCAAAGGATCAAATATAAAGACCCGGACACACGGATAAATCTACCCTTTCTCGTATAAAAAAGAGAGAAGGACGAAAAGCTCTTGACATTTCAGACACGTTTGGGGTAATTCCCCTCTCTTTTTTAACATATATAGGCTGCTCCAAAGGATGAGACCACCTAAATTGCCTTAGTTTCTAGAAGGGACTATGATAATTATAGTTTAATGATTTCTTAGTTACTTCAGCCAACGAGGTTGGAATGGAATTTCTGCTAGTCAATGACTTGTGAACCGGGACAACCAAAGCAGAAGAAAACACAAACTTGGCTTCTTAAAAATGTCCCCCTTTTTTTCGTCACTGATATGGGATATGTCTTGTGCGATATTTTCTCTGCGATGATAGAGTATAATGCAAGAATTGAACCTTGTTCCTAAACTAGAGGAGTCACCTGCAGGAATTGAACCTAGGACATCTGAATCAGTCAATCCTTAACCATGTTTGATTTCAGCCTATGCTCAAACTCAAACGGCTCCAGAATCCAATGTTCTGTCAATCCAATTCCCATGATTATGAATTATTCCAACAGTACCCCCATTATATTGGCATTCTCTGCGTTTGGAATCACATGAGAGCAAGGCCAAAATCACGTTTTGATAGAAGCAGCTCAAAGTCAAGGTTTGCTTATGTCAAAACCACGTTCTAGCCCTACCCAAAGTGATTCCAAACACGCACGTTTCATGCTTTTCAAAAGTGAATTTAGAAACAGTTATTCTTCATATGGTTTAGAACTTTAGGTCATGCCAGAGCCAGACCCTTGACAGAGTTGACACCATCCCTGCAAACCAAGGCTGATATTGTGATACATATGATGGTGATAATAACATATTGCAAAAAGAAATTGTGTTTCTATTCTCTCTTCATCAGGTCTCTATAACTCAGCAGAATATACAATGGCTTTTTTCTGTGCAATTTTCAGAAGACAGGGCAAGCAAAGTACAATCATATCCATATCATAACACAACCTGAAGGACTTTGTGGCTACAAAAACTTGTGCTCTTTCTATTGTTTTTATCATCACAAGGCTCACTGGTAAGTTTGCCATCAGTTTCTATGAATAGATAAAACAGATAATAAGAAAATCCTAGCTACACCTGTGACTGACTTCTCTTGAACACAGTGGTTTTAAGGAGAGAAGGGGACTTGGAAGCTGTTGCAGAAACGGAAGCATGAGATATGAATGAAGCTTTCTTGGGGAAAGAGACGAGTCTTTGCAGAGAGCAAGCACTGGGGCAGATGGCCTTCAAGTTGTGCAATGCACAGCCACAGTTTTTATGGTATGGCCTTCTCTCAACCTCCATGTCTTGCATGGAAATGCTTCCATTGAAGACACTCTGAAGCACCATTTGAGCTGCTCCAGTGGCCATTATTCTCCCCTCTTCAATCTTCTGCGCAATGTTACCCCCCCTCCTCAATATATATATATATATATATAGATATGACCTGTGAATGTAGAAAAGGAGAGAAGGGTTGGCTCAATATAATGCTTCCTCGGAGATTCCAAGAAAACTTTAGTATAGTGTTCAAGAAGACAAGGTGGTGTGTCTTGTTGTGTTTCTTGTTGTTTCGGGTGGATGAAAGTTTGAGGAATTCAATGTAACAAGTAATGGGACAGGCATGGAAATCTCAGGAAGACAACAAAAGTCTTGAATAAATCGTTAAAGTGAATGGGATTTTAAGGGAATTTTTTTTTAGTGGGTTACTTCTTCTGAGCACCAAGCCATCTAGGTGTAATGCATCTGTGATCTGTGTATACTCAAGTATGACTCTGTTTGTGGTCCAAGATGATTGTGCTTGTGGGTCAATGCCAGTTCTAATTAGTTGTGCAACTTGATTCTCTATTGTGTCACTCCAAATAGGATTTAATTGAAATACTATTCTGGTACTATTTATAACCTGTTTTACAAAAACAAAAAGTGATCCTAATTTTAAGGTGATAAATAAAAAGGTTAAAAAAAAATCTTCTAGCTTTGCCCTTTAATATAAAAGCATTTGAATAAATACTAAGGTCACTCGTCATCTTCATTTAATTAATAAAAATATAATTGAAAAGTTGAGATGTTTTTAACAAATAAAACAACATAATAATTTTTTTAAGCACGTGAAATTTATAAATAGAAAATATACTTTATAAGTGGAGATTCTTGTAATGAGATTTGAACTTCATTATGACATTTTCATGCATGGAGTAGCAGGAGAGCATTTACTTGTTTCACTGCCAATCCCTTTTTAAGAATTTGGAGTCAAAATATTATGTTATAGTTTACATTTAACTTTATCCATAATTGGGGGGAGATAAAAAAGCTGAATTGATTTATAAGAAGTGAATAAAATACCAAATCTATTGTATTTGACATGGCACAACAGAACATCCTAATGCTTAAAGTTTGCTGATAATCTCTCAATGCAACACTTTCCTTGATTGTTCTAAGCATTAATGGAGTAATGTCAATTGAGTTTAGCACTCTAAATCAATTATATATATACATATATATTAAAGGTGAGTTGGATTACTGAAAGGGTCAACAACTAAGAAAAGAAAAAACCTTGTTTTGCACTACTCCAAGGGATTGTCTATAGTAATTGCACTAACACTGGTAGCGGTGGTGGGGAAGAGAAGCAAAATCTATCTGTTTTTTTATTTTTTGGGCCAAAGCAATGTGACAAGGGAAAGATCTCATGCCAGCTGGACAACACATTAAACTGGACAACAAGTCAAGAAAATAATTACTTTTGTTTTTGCCATAGATATTTTTTAGCCATAGATATTTAATATTTACAGATGTTTCAACGCTTTTTTTTTTTTTTTGTTTTGCTTTCATGCCATGTGGGAAGGGGGAAGGATATAATGGAAAGAATTTTTGTAAATATTATCGTTCCATAAAATTTTATTTTATTTTATATGATTGTGTGAATGACAATTTATTTCGGAAGTACTATAATCGTAATATCTCATTTGGTTAATATTCTTAGCAATGAGTTGATCAATTATAATTAAACTGTTAGCTAATTTTTAACTCGCAAAGTATATACCTTACCTGTGATTCAAAGAAGAAGAAGAAGAAGAAGAAGGGAAACACATGACCATATGATAGAAACCAGAGAATGGCTAATTTTTCTCACTTAATTGGTTTTTGTTAATATAGTCTCTTCTTCAAATGCACACATTGATAAACTTTATTAGAAATTTTAGGTTAAAACTTAAAAATTGCAATTCATGGATACAGATCAGAGTTGGGCAAAGCATCCCTTGTCGCCCGCTCTTTGAATTCTAATTTCTCCACAATATATTGATGATTAGGTTCCGAGGTCGGTGCATTTAATAAATCTGTTGCTAGCCAGTAGCAACATTATCACATGAATGACTCATCTTCCATGATCGGATAACATTCTTTGATATAATCAAGAACCCAACAAAAAAAAAAAAAATCCAAGATCCCTTCTGAAATCAAGATTCAGATTGCACTTGCAATTTTAGGTTTCATTAGATTCAATCCCAACCTTGGAAAGCTTCCTAAATCCTAGCTTCAAAAGTTCTGTGCCAGTGTCCTCTCCCAACGGCTCAGAAACTTATTACCTTCATGCGTGCCCAAATTGTCTTTGAGGTTTCGACGTTAAGAGGCGTAGAAGATACCGTTTGATCATCAGAAAAATTTACAAGAAATCTTAGTCAACTTCTTAATTGGGTTGTTCAATGCATCTTTAATCGAGAAAAATGGCATGAAAAAGCCAATAAACAAATGAAAGAAATTCCATTAGCATCTCTACAAGAAATGGAATAGTCAGATATACAAACACCACCAAACTTTAGATTCCCACAAGAACCCTTCACAACCTTACATATTGATCCAACTTCACTTGCTATTACAAAGATTGAAACGAATTAAGACCTAAACTGAACAGAAAGAAAATGATACTAAGCAGAGAAGTTAATCTCGAACCTTAATTCACAAAACCTTTAAGATTCTCCTGCTTTTGTAGCAGATCTACGAAACCCAAGGGAGGCCTTCCCGAGGCCGGAGAAGAAGACGGTGAGTAATGAGCAGAGAAAGCGGCCATGACCAAGCTGCCTTCACTCCACGACCTCCGTATCGGATAGGAAACATTGCCACAGACCGGCGCCTTGTTGGCGGAGGATTTGCCGTCGTGAAGGGCGCAACCACAGTTACGGTGGTAAGGCCGCCGCTCGATGCCGTTGTCGAAGCCAGAGAGGCAACCTTCGAAGAGGCACCGGAAAACACCGTCGGCGGCGGCCATATCCCCTCGCCAACAAGAAGGTGGGTTTACGCTCTCTCTAGAACTCTCTTATCAGCTCTCGAGCTTCTGTTCTTCGAGGACAACGCTCGCGGTGGGGGCTTTGGGTGTATATATACACACATACACACACAATAATCAAAAAATGTCGATGGTAGATTTATACAGTGCAGGCCAGCGCGTGTGTGTGAGTCTGTGAGAGAGAGAGAATGAAAAAGAAAAAAAGAATAAATTTTTTGGAAGGCAACGGAAAAAGTATCGTCGTGGGCGGCGAGCGGCATGTGCGTATGACGAAGGGAAACCGTGTGTCGTGTTGTGCGTCTTTTTGAAGGACACACTTTGCGCTTCTCTTGTGGGGGCGTGTTAGGCCTCCTTACTCCAAACTAATTTTCACCTAAATAAAAATGCCTCTTATAACTTAATGAAAATATTATTTCCCGTAATTATTCATGGAAAAATCAATTTATAGATTCTTCTAATTTTGTTAATTTTAAATCAAGTTTATATAATTTATTTTATTTCAATCAATCCCTCCATTAAATATATTAGTCCTTTAAAGTTAAAGGACTTGTTTGTTTTAGTTTATTTTATAAAAATTATTTATTTTTTGAAAAAATATATTTTGTAAGCTTTCATTGTACTTGTTTAAACTTTTTAAAAATAATTAAAATATAAAAAAATATACTTTTGATTATTTTGAAAAATTACTTTGAGTAATTTCTAAAAAAAAAATCTAAAAATAGGAGTGAGTGTTTTAAAGAAGTAAAATATGCAAAAATATCATAAAATTTTAAAATCATAGAATAAATTTTTTTATAAAAACAGAAATAAAAAAGATATTATAAAATTTTAAAAAAACTAATTAATAATTACTATTTTTTATTATAATCAAACATAAAATAATATCTACTTTTTATAAAATTTCTATAAAATAATTTTTTTATAAAATTCTTAAAATATATAAAAATCCCTTATTTCTTAATGCTAAACAAACTGGCCCAAAATTATTAATAAATGATTAGTTTGTTCAAAACAAAATTAATTTTAAAATTTATAATAATTTGATTTAATATAATGTTTACATTTTTATTATTTTTTATGAAAATTATATATATAAGTTATTTAGAAAATATAATCTAATTATATAAATTTTGAGTTATAAAAATTATGTAACTAGTTTTAAATACATAGAATCTTTTAATAAAAACCTAAAAGTTTTTAATTCATTTTTTAAAAGGAAAAATTTAATAATTTTAACTCTTAAGTATCAAGGTATTTAATCAATAAAATTATAAAGGCTTGATTAAAAATAAATAAATTACAAGAACTTAATTGAAAATTAAAAAAAAATTATCAAGACTTCAAGATTAATTTTCTCGTTATTCAATTCACGTTGAATGCCTGTCCCATTCATTTACCATAGCATAGGTCTCAGATTTAGGGACTAACTCAGTGTTCATCACTGCAATGACTATCATTATGGTAAAATTTAAATGATCCAGAGTTAAAAAATTTTAATTATTAAATAATAAACTCATTTATTTTAAAGGGTGATTGTTAAATAATAAATACTATTCTTATCAGTGCTTTTTTTCATTATAAAAAGTCATGAAAAAAAGATCATGACTAGTGTCTTTCCCTTTATATACAGTTATGTAGAGACATAAAAATGATATTAAATTTATGATAAAAAAAAAAGACATTTCTGTATAGATTTGTGGGATCTGTTTTTCAGCATTTAAATTCAACATTTGTTTTTAATTAATTAACCTTACGAGGAAAAAAGGAGAAAAAAAAAAGAAGACTTTAAAGTTATCCACAAGTTAAATAAATTCAAAGCACATGTCATAATAAAAATAAAATAAGAAGAAATTTGAAATAGAGCCTAATTGGTTAACCACAAAATCCAAACGGGGATCGTATTTCTTGCTCAAAACAATGTATTCAACATTCTCTGAAGCTTCCAAAGCTGCTGGAGAGTTAGCCATTGTTTTGTTTTCTTCTAAAGCAAGTTGCGTCTCCGTTATAAACCCAAACAATACTTCCTGTGTACCTGCCAGCTATATGGCATCTGCTCAACTTATTCGCTGACTTTGCAGTCAAGTTTATTGCCCCGGATTTTATCTTTAGGTCTATGTTTGGTTTTTTGTTAGAGTCTTTGAAACGTAATTTACTAAATAATTCTTTGAAAAATGAGCATATTGGTCTCTATACTTTTAATTTATTTTGGTGTTAATATCTGTACTTTTTTTCGTTAATTATTTTTAGTTTCTTAAATTTTATCTGTGTACAATGCTAGTCCTATATTTTTTAAATATAATCATAAGGATTTAATAGTAGCTAATATGTATATAGACTTCGTTGCTTTTTATATTGATTACTTGTTAAAATTATTATGAGTTATATAAAAAATAAATAAACGGCAAACAAAACAAGCCGAACATTAAATTCTAATCCTTAAACGTGCAATAGATAAAGCATAGTAGAGCACACAGACAAAATGGTCGGCAATAATTTTGCTCATAAAATGTATAATTCATGAAATTATTGCCAATTTAACACCTTAACATAATTGTTTCCATCTAACCAGATTTAACTCCATTAGTGATAATAAAAACTATTGTAGACAAGCAAAACTCAAGGACTTGGAGGGAAAAAATTATTATAATAACTAATATTTAAAAATAGAGCAACCTGCAATTGTGTGTATGTGAAAAGTCATTTTTCATTAAGAATTTAAGATTGAACATTCATATTATGGATGTAGCACGAGCCTGTCAATACGAGTAATAACTTTTCTAAAGATATGATCGAAAGAGATTTCTTTTAAAAAAAATTGATTAATTTTTTTTCTTTTCACAAAACATGAACCAATTGATCCAACCAAATCAATACAGCTTTATTGCTGGAAGACATGGTGCTGACAATACCATTGTTTCACAAGAAGCCATTCATACAATGAAAACTCACAAGACCAAACATGGCTATGTAGCAATTAAAGTCAATATGGAGAAAGCATATGATAGACTTGATTGGGGATTCATTGAGGAAACTCTCTACAGCTTGGGACTTAATTAACAATTTGTCAATCTGATATCCAGATGCATATCTTCAGCTACTTTGAAGATACTCTGGAACGAGGAAGATACCCAACCTTTTTCTCCAACTTGGGGAATAAGGCAAGGTGACCCACTTAGCTCATATCTCTTTGTTCTTTGTATGGAAAGGCTTGGGCAGCTCATAAATCACGAGGTGTCAAGTGATAGGTGGAAACCCCTTCCACTAAGCTGTAGGGGTCCTAATATATCTCATCTTTTCTTTGTAAATGATCTATTTCTCTTCAGTGAAGCTTCTATTGAACAGATGAATATGATGAAATCGGTCATGAAATTTTTTTGTGATGTTTCAGGACATAAGATGAATCTCTCCAAATCTAAAGCCTTCTTCTCAAAAAAATATCCATTTCAATAGTATGATTAAGCTGAGCAATCTACTTGGCATTGGGGTTACTGCAGACTTAGGAAATGTCTTGGGGTACCATTGATTTATCAAAGAATGACAAAGGCTTTTTTCAACCCCATTATTCAAAAAAACTATAAGAAATTATCTAGATGGAAAGGGAGATTTCTCACTATGGCAGGAAAGACAATCCTTATCAAATCAATTTTATCAGCTATACCATCCTATCATAAGCAAAACATGATTATCCCCAAAGGCATTCTTAAAGAAATTGACAAACTTAGTAGAGGTTTCTTTTAGAATCAAGATCAAGAAGGAAAGAAGATGCATCTCATAGCTTGGGACACCATCAAAAGACACAAATAGGATGGACGGCTGGGCATTAAAGATTTATACCATCAAAACCTAACATTCATGATGAAACTTTGCTGGGGGCTCCTAACCCAACCTAATACTTTACGGGTCCAATGTCTTAGGGCAAAATATAACTGTGGATAAGGCCACTATCTGATAGTGATGAGGAAAAGAAATGACTCAACTATTTGGAAAGGTATCAATACTATTTAGGAAAGATTCAAAAATAGGGTTGGAAGGAAGATCAATGATGGAATGAACACCTTTTGCTGGTGGGACCTATGGACGCCTCTAAATTCACAACTTATTCATCTTGTGGAGAAGAACCACCATCTCATTGAACCACAAGCAATAGTGAGAGCATTTATTCTTCTAAATGGTTTATGGAACATTGACGCTTGCAGACTCTTTTTGCCTGAATAGGTAATAAGCTATATTAAACAGGTTCAACCACCCTCAGGGATGGAACAAATATATCTTTGTTTGGAGAAGTGCAAATGATGGTACTTTTAGTGTGAAAGCAGCCTACAACTATCTCTCAACTAAGGATATTCATAGGGGCATTGCTCCCTAGAGGAAATTATGGCAGGGACACATTCTTGAGAGCTAAGATAGGCTTGAGTGTAAACAATGAGTGCTCAAATGAGTATCGTAGTGAGGAATCTATTCTCCATATTTTGTGTGTCTGTGATTATGCCAAATCCATTTGGCTATCATTACTTAACCCAATTGTTGTATAAAATTTTTTTTATGTGTGACAACTTGCAGGTTTGGCTTAACTGGAATGTGAAACATTTAGCTGGAGGGAATGTAGTCAAACGCTGGCCCTGGTCACGTACTTTCAATATTATGTCTTGGATGCTTTGGAAAAGTAGGTGCAACAGAATCATGGAAGGTAAAACTATAGCACCAAGCGACCTTCTTCACTCATGCAGTTATGTGCTGATAGAGGATGTAGAAAGTGAGAGCTTCAAACACTAGATTTTTCATCTCCAAGAGGTTGAAGAGATAAAATAGACACCTCCGCCACATGGTTCTATATGAATTGATGTGGACGATTCCGTTAATGACCATAGGAACGCTGCATGCGGGGGTCTGATTAGAGATTCAAGAGGAAATTGAATTGTTGGCTTTCAACAACATCTTGGTTATCTACCTTCAACAATGGCTGAATTGTTAGCCATGAAAGTAGGTTTACATGTTTGTAAGCAATATGGACTGGAGAAGATTCAGCTACGCACGGATTCCTTAGAAGCAATCCATCTCGTCCTCGAAGAGTGCCCACCAAATCACCCTTAGTACCATGAAGTAATTGAAATTAGGAACTTGATTTATTCGAATTGGGAGATTTCTATCAGACATGTTATAAGAGATATAC